GAGACTTGCTATTATTGTTGTATTTATGTGCCACGTGGTACGCCCTATTGGAGCTCAATAGGTGGTTTGTAAGGGCTCGAGCTAATCTACCTTTGACCGGGTAATTTAGCACCGAGTGAGGGTTATAGCTCGAGGTTAATGGAGGGATATAAGGATGGTTATTTGTGTATATTATAATATTTCTTATATTTTATTGGAATTATATTATTTTTAATTCTCACTTAGTAAGCATACAATTAACTGTTTGTATACACTATCATAAATTGGCTTTGGTTACTGGGACTTTTGAGTCTCATTATGTGGTTAACAATTTTCAGAAGAAGAGCCACGAGTGACACGTGGAGGAGTCCTAGAGGCTTAATGGTATAGATCCACTGTCTCTTTTGGGTATTTAATTTATAATTTATAATGTGTTATATTGCCAATATTAGGGCTTTTTGTTTATTGACAATTATATGAATATATAAATGTAATCATGCCTTTCAAACTATTTTTATTTTGGTATACTTTGGATGACTGTAATTTTAATATTTGATTTACTTTGGATTGGTTAAAATGGCATGATTATGAAGTCAAATAACTGGCTTGTGTTGAAAATTGACTAAATTGTTTATTTTACTTGTTGAGAGTATAAGGATGGACAAATGTGATTTAGCCTAGTGGCATGTGAAAGGTAAAAATTTATCTACAATATTATATTGTGTGAGTTGAAGCCAATTATAAAATATTTTATATTAAAATTATTGATATAAAAATATGTTGGGTAGCTGTAACCCAACTATGGTTGAGTTAAGTTATTTAAAAAAAAAAACTTTTGGTGTGTTACAGGATTAAGTTGTGCCCAGTCAATGATCAAGTTACAACCCAAAAGATGATAAAAAACTGAGTTACAACAAGTTAAAATTTAAAAACTAAGTTATAAGTGAGTTAAAATTATAAGAGCTAAATGATTAATTTTTTTTGAAATACTATTTATTAAAAAAAACATTTTACTCCCTTTCTTACTTCCACGCACACTCTTTATTGGTGTAAGATCATATACGTTAATCCCTAAATTTTAAAAGAATGTCAATCTTTATTTTTTTCCTAAAATATAGGAACTAATATTTTTAAAAATTAAACTATAAGGAACAAGTTATACTGAGTTGATATTCAAGGATCAAGTTATAACTAAATTAAAACTATAAGGATTAAGTTATAGTGAATTAAAATTTAGAAATATTGTTATAACTAAGTTAAAATTATGAAGACTAAAAAAAGTAGAATGTTTTTTAATTATTTATTAAAAATATTCTACTTTTTTTTCATATTTCCGTACACACTCTCAGGCTTCCATTCTCCATGCCTTAAAAACTGAAGCTTCACTACCTTCAACATGGATCTGAGTTCAGAACATCCATGTCCACGTTTAAAACATCCAAGTCCATGTTCAAAAATTCCAAATTCTTTAAAAAAGCTCATTAAGGCTGTTCGATCTACCTCACCATCATATCATATGCAAACTATGTTGCTTTCTAAAATGACTGCTTAGTGAAATTGAGAAACAAAGCTAAAATTTCTCCTAGGTTTATTCTAAAAGCAATTAGTGTGTTCACTTATTATTATGGGATAATGTCTCTTCAGATAAGCTCGAAGGTAGCCTTAGCATCAAGAATTTGAGGAAAACAAAATGAAGCTTTTGTGATGAAGTTGTCTTGGAATCTCTTAGCCAATAAAGAGAGCCTTTGGGTAAAGGTATTAACTAGAAAATACAAGTGCAACTCTGGACCAATCCTAAACATTGAAAAGAAGAAGTCATCCTCTTTAACCTTGAGACGTATAAATGTTGTTTTGGATGATTTTAAAGCTAAGGTGAGGAAGAAAATAAGTAATGGTACAAGTACTTCTTTCTAGTTGAATAATTGGTTTGAGCTAAACATTCCACTAATTGAGCTCATTTCGAGCTATGAAGGCTTTATCAATAAAGTAGAGAAAGTGTTTGATTATGCACAGCAAAATGGAGAGTGGAATAGGGAAAATTACTAAACTAGCTTGATACTCTTTTTGTGGACCGTGTGACTCGTGAACACTCACCTGTGAGGAGAGATGAGAGGATAAAGACTATTGGATACCATTTTTAAATGTCTCTTTCACACATGGAAGGTTGCACACCACGGACTTAAGGGAAAAGAAGAGGACTATAAAATCAAGATGTTTGCCTAGTAGGGTGCAATTTTAAGGAAGATGCCATACACCTTCTCGAAGATTGTGATAATGTTTTCAATTGATGGAAATCTGTGGTTTGCGATAATAAATTAAAGACTTTATGCTCTCTCCAAGGAGTAAAGTGGGTCAAATGGAATTTGTAAAATGAAATGGGTAAAGTGCTGACAAAGAAAATCCCTTAGTCAATACCGTTTAGATATTTATGTTGGGACATTTGGGTTCATCACGATAATGTAGTCATCGGCTCGAAGGAAATTAGGATCTACTAGGATAGTCTTTCTAGCTTAAATAAGGCATGTATAGATAGGGATCTTGTGAATAACTCGCCTTTGTTTAGTTATAGAACTGATGCTTTAGCGCAGAAGAATGACAGTAAAGATGACTTCTTTCGACTTTATGTGGATGGTTCGGTCAAGAACGATGGAAATAGCGGATGTGGAGGTGTCATATGTGATGGCTAAGATAATTGAATATGTGGTTTCAGTTCCAAATTGATTAATGCTCCCCCTATAGTTGCCGAGTTGATCGGGATCATATAAGGACTCACCTTATGCTGGGAAAGAGACCTCTATAAAGTGGCAATCTCTTGAGACACCTTAGAAGTAATCAACCTTGTCATTCGTGGTTGTGACCATAACTACCCATTTGGAATATTATAGAACGAGTGAGTTCTTTTTCTTTTGTTGGGAGGGTTAGATTACTCTCAAATTGTATAACTACCTTATCATTCATGGCCTCAACCATAGACACAATGATTGTAATGTTTATACTAACTACTTAGCTAGACTCTGTCATTCTTTACAGGTTAATTTTTACTTTTTTAATTATCATCCAAGCTTAAACCATGGAAATGGAAGATGGTGAAAAAGGATAAGGTTTTTTTTATATATATTTTTTGTTTATGTCGTTGGACTTATTTTTGATTTTTCTAGGTTATCTTTTCTTTTCAGTTACCACTAAAAAAAAATTCTAGATTCATGAATACAAGACACCCAATATAGCAACTATTCAATACATCTATATACAAGCCACCTACTATTTCAAAGTACTATTTTCAATTTTTTACCTCTTTAACCCAATAATTTAAATTTAATGTCATTTAGGAAACCAGGGCCTTGAACATTGGTTGGAGTAAAATAATAAATAAAATATATATATACCAAATGAAATCAAACCCATAGCAAAGGATGGGTGAGTGAACAATAAGCAGTGACAACAATGATCAAGAAAACCAAATGCAACGGCGATAACTTCTTAAGGTAAGGCAGAGAGATGAGTGAATACGAGGGGAGCTTTAGTTTGGAGATCAGAAATTGTTCTAGTTCCATGAGCCTGTGACTATGAGGGAGGAGGATTGTGTAAGGTTTTCCTTACTAATCCACATTTATTTATAAACTCATGGGTAATCATAGAATTAACCCTAATGAGTTATCCTATCGTGATTAATCATTTTCAAAACACTTTTAAATTCAAGTTGTATTCTTTCACAAATTGGGATCTTAATTTTCAAACCATTCAAAATTATTTTCCAAAGACATCAATTGGTCTATAAATAGAGTTTTAGATAATTGATGTTCATGTTGTGGAGGATGTGGGACAAGACAATGAAAGATATTCTAATATGTTAGAACTTCACCCCATGGATTTATAGATTATTCCTTCATCTGGGGCATCCAATGAGAACATTGGTGATTTGATATCAAATTTAGAAGATGATGAGTTGTATGAAAACTATGCATATGATGATGAGGAAAATAAGCCCATAGCAAGGAACTACAAGTATAATCTTGTAAAAATGTGTAAGGATTTTAAATTTATTTTGGGGATGAAATTTATTGTAATCAAACAATTTGGGAATGCTTTAAGGAGCACTCTTTGCTGAATGGTTATAGATCTAACTGTATAAAAAAAAATGATAGAAAGAGATGTTGAGTTAAATGTACAAGTAGATGTGATTGGCTAATGTTTGTAAGTAAAGAATGTGACTCTTCAACCCATTGGCTAAAGACATTCAATCCAAGGCATGTTTGTGGAGTAACAATTGATACAAAAAGAGTTATTTTTGTCCTTTAATTGCTATAGGAACCTAATTTAAAACTAGGGAAAACTATGAGGATTGGGGTATTACTTTTTTTCCAAAATATTATTAAACTATACTTTTTTCCAAAATATTATTAAACTATCTTTTGATCTAAAAAGTAAAAATATACTCAAAATAAAAAATGTACATCGGTTACAACTTACAAGTACAAATCAACGCTTAACCATTATTTTTTATCTTTAATATAAAAAAGAGAGGGGATTAGCCCCTATTACAAACTACGAGCTACACAAATGAGGGGATAGAAACCCCAAGGCACAGCAAGCAATCTGAAGTAAATTAAACACAGCCCAATTCTATCACCCTGCAAGGTAGCTGTGCCAGACGATGTAACTAAGTTAACCATTTTTTAGAAATGGCTAATGTTCAGTGAGTAGTTTGGCACAACTCTCCCTCCCCCTCTCCCTCGCACGAAACAAAAGAGCTACTTAGTTAAATTCTAATGGCTATGTAAAGAGAAGAAACAAATTTATGCAGAACGGGTTCAAGCAGCAAGCTATTAAATTTGGACCATTTCTACTGAGCTCGCCAGGCGATGAAATATGCCCCGTGCCATTCAAACGTGTTTTCATGCATCCAGCTTCACCTCATCCAAAAACGGGACCCACGCTTTTTAGCGTGCCCTTCTAGCTTGATATTGCAGAGTACAAGTATAGAGAATCATACGCCAAAGTTTAAAATGACATAAAGCAAATTAAAATAAACACTCTTATATTCACTCTTCAAACAGCTCATAAAATCTTGATCCGAGGGGAAATGTATCAATCTATTCATGATTGATCTATTCATCAACATTTATTTATTTTTAAATAAATTTAATTGCCAAAAAAATAAACTGCGCTGCAAGAATCTCGTAGTTTATGACTGAGATTTAACCAACCACAAAATTCTTCAAGAATCAGAGCGGGACTTGACGATGAAATTCTGGCGACTTATGGGATTCATAACCACCGGAGGACCAGCAGTGCGAGGCCATGCCTGGATTTTTTTGTCAGTCTCTTCAAACCACTCCTTAGTTGAAACTGTTTTGGGGGTAGTGCCTGAAGACAAAGAGACTAGCAGTTACTTTACACTTCTTAAACAGCATCAGAGCAAATTTAGCTCCGAAAGCAAAGCAAAACTAACCTCCAAACATCTTTGAGTCAGAAACAGAAGTGTCACAAATCCACGCAACTCCAAATGATGCTATTACAGCAGAAATGATATACTTGGTTGCCATGCTCAAATTGCACCCTGCACCAGAAAAAGGAAAAATAACACCGTCAAATAAAAAATTAGAAGACAAGAACCAAATAAAGGACCTCTCTAACTTAGATTTCGAGAAATCTACAATCAATAAGACACAGACATTAAACTCCACAAAAAAAAAAAATCAACCAACTGGCAAATCAGAGGCAATTAGATTCAATCATCACGAACAGATCAGCGAAGACCTCTTTAGACAGTAGTGAACATCACATTGGGGCGGCCAAAAAGCACAATTTCCAACCAACAACCCACTCAGAGACAAATAGAAGGAAATATTCTATGTCTAATACGTATATCTCATGCCTATAACCAGTAGTAAAACACATATCGCGGCACAATCAGATTTTTTTTTTTTTATTCTTCCATTGGCGTGCCGAGAAAACAAATGGTATGTTCCATGCTGCATCATGGGAGAACGAGATATTAAACGAGCCGAGGATACATAATTACATACACACGTTCTATTTACGAGGAACGTCTTCGAGAGCAATTCAAATATTCAATATAACCAATCATTCATAAGGCAAATCCCCGCTGTCAGCATAGAGCAGGAGTAAGATTCGAAATATCCAGAATATAGACTTTCACTTCCTCTGACCCTTTCCGTGAGACGAGACAGAAGTTCATGGAAAAAAGCAACCAATCAAATCAATGGCCTCGGATTAAAATGAAGCCGGAAGCCAATGAGACAGGCGATGCGATCAATAATAAGGAACGTTCAGAAAAATACCATGAATGCGTTGGAGAAAAGTGTAAAGCGATTACCTCAAGTCTGTTACGGGGAAGACAGATCTCTAGACCGATCGTCGATAACGCGAAAAGAACGAAATAGAACGTGAGTTGGGAGAAGAGCGGACTTTTGTTTTGTTTTTTGTTTTTTTTTTTTTGATACAACTTTTGTTTTTTATTAGAGAGGGGACTTGCTTTGTTTATGATAATGAGCGCCACGATGGAATTGGTCAGAGCGGAATAGGGCTCAAAAACAATGTCAATGATGGTTCATAATCTTAGCCCAAATAAAGCTGGGCCTAATACAAAAGGTCGAAAATAACCCCAACCACACGAAAATGAGCTACGCCTTGTTGTGGGGAAAAAAGAAGAGCACGTGCAGGTCCTCATCAATTGTGAAAAGCTCTCTAATCTGTTGACCAGAGATGCTTTTTGGGTACAATGTGGGCAGGAAATTGCCTCTGGTTTCAGAAGTCTTCTTATGAAAGATTGAAATGTGTTCTTTTCATTTTCTTGTAAAGATCCTTCTATGTATATTAGGAAAACTATTAGGTTAGGCTTGAATAGTTCTCATTCTTTTGATGCCTTTTATCATCAACCCTTCTCTTTGTTTTTTTCTATTTTGTTTGTTTTTAATCTGTTCTGTTTTTAGTTACTATTATTTGATCTGCTTTTTATTCAAAAAAAAAAAAAAGAACGCCTCGTGAAGGGTTTAATTTTTACAAGCACCCCTAGTTTAGTTTTGTTATAAATAAGGTTTTAGTTTGGTTGTATTCTCATCTTTTATTTTTAAAGATTATTTTATAAATCTATTTTTAATATTTTTTATAACAAAATAAAATAAAAATCTGTTTAAGAGTTCAAAAATCAGCCAATAATTATAGTCACCAATAATTACCGCCTTAACGGTAGTAGTTTAGGATAATAATTGGTCATAATTGACAATAATTTTTAATAACAAAATATAATATGTTTTGAAAATAAAAAAATAAAAACAATTGTAATATGTTTTCAAATAAGAATAGTTTTAAAAATGTTTAAATACAAAATACGCATCCAAACAATTGTTTTTATTTCTTTACTTTTAAAAATAGAAAATAGTTGTTAAAAACAAAAAAAATAAAATAAAGAAGCGCTTATCTTCTTATTCTCAAAACATTTTCTATTTTCACTTCACAAACTTATATTTTAGGGTTATGCACTTGATAAAAAAATTTAAAAAAATAATTGACAAATATTAATTTAAATTAGTTGTGAATTCAATAATTTTAATTATAATTTTGTAAAAGAAAAACATAACTTTAAGTTTCTGTATTTTGTTCATTTTTTCCTACTAATTTTTACACTTTTTTATATTTTAAATTCTTACACTTTTATTTTTTAATGTTTAGGTTCTTGAGGGACCCAAAGTTACACTTTTTTATTATAAATAAAACATAAATTTTAAATATGATTCTTGGTTTATAATTAATATTCCCTTTTACAATTGTTTGAATCAATACTTCCTCTGATCTTGTTTATAGGGCAGGAAGAGAAAAAATTTTTTAATCTTATTTATAAATCACATCATTAAATTTTTGTCACAAAATTTCTTATTTTACCCTCCATTAAACATTGGAGAGAGAAAATATATTAGTAAAGTATGTATATTTAATAGGGACAAAGTTAAAAATTTATTTAATTTTAAGACAGAATTAACGAGTTTTAAAATTTTTCTTGATAATGATAAAACATGTTGAAAGTAATTTATAAATAGAATAAGAAAAGTAATTAATAACTAATTTTTTTTTTTAAAAAAAAACCTTTTCAAGAACCTAACCATCATAAATTTTTTGAGCTAACAATCATAAATTTTATATTCATTATTCAAAGACTTTATTGCCACTCTCTAAATTTTACTTAACATGAAAGGGTAAATAAAGTGAAGAGTCATTACAAATGAAGTGCGACTCTCTCAACAGCACAGGGGCTGTCTCTAATTTGAAATATTTAATTCATTAGGAGTAATGAAAAGCAGAATTTTTTAACGCCCTACAATAATTGTCGTCCAATGAAATAAACTGTTTATGATTATAAGAAAAACAAAAATAAGATATTTATTCAATTAATGTACATACAATTCCTTATTTGAATCTTACCTCTCTCATTTATATATGATTGTAGTTTCAAGTCAAATGAACTAAGCTCCCAAAAAAAGTAGAAAAGCAGCGATCTTTGCCGGAAACATTTAAATACCTAACAATTTTTTTTTTTTGGGTATAAGCGGCAGAAGTAACAATTCAAGCAGTCAGTTTAACTTTTGAGCATGAAGGAAGAATCCAGCAAATAAATACAGAAGCATGTTAGCCAAAAGAAATCACGCAATGACTCCACCAAACAATGATGTTAAAACTTCTTCAAATTCGTGTTGACAACCTTGTCGCCTTAAAAGGGGGCGCAAACTGATATATACTCTAGAAAACTATAACCGTAGAAGTATAATTAAGACTTCATCGTGTTAAACCATACCTAGGCTCTTGAACTACCACCGTGATCCCTCTCAACGTGCTCTACAAGAGCCACTGGATCTCGAAATCCTCTGCTGCACTTGGGACAGACATCTATGGTCACTTTAGGCGCGCCCCTGGATCGGCTGCTGCTCCTTTCATGAACTTTCTGCACATGATCCACCAAATAAGTGACAGAGGAAAACCTTGCATTACACTGGGGACATTGCTCCATCTCCACTTGCCCATTTCCATTACCCATGCCACTGTTCTGTCCCATCCCATCCTTTGCTGTTTGCCAAGCTTGGTTAATTTCATTGCCCAATTTTGACATACTGGCTTCAGCAGAAGCTCGAATATTTGAAGCCACGTTGCGAAAGCCTGATGCCCATTTTGACGAAGATGTAAGTGGAGATGGATTTGGCTTTGACACCTCTTTTGTACTTCTGCTCAAGAGATTCTTAAATGAAAAGCTCGTTTCCAAACTTTTGGGTCCGGGACACTTGTGATCAGGGCCAAAACGATGCCTCAGACAATGATCTGCCAAGCAATCCCTGCATTTGATTGTGTTTGAGAATACCAAGACCTCTCTGCATCCAGGGGCGGGGCATTTTTTCTTCTTCATGGTTCTTTCATAATTTGATGGGTCACAGTCAGTATTGACATGATTCTCCCAAGTTATGTTTGGATCTTGATCAGGAATTAGGCGGACTCCTTTTGCACAAAGTGGACATATGACAACAGTGACATCCAGTCCGTCCGCTTTCTGACATTGATGTTTAATATAACCTCTGTGCTCCAAACAATATACCTACAAGAGATTTTGGCAGATGTAGACATATAGTCAACTGAAACAAAAAATGTTAAACATCAAAGAAAAGGAAGATTAGTAACCATACACGGAACTAAGATATAAAACAATAAAACATGCACACTATAATTGCCAAAAAAACACAGTGCTGCTGTGCATGCACTAGCACATCCCCGGAAAGCTAACCTGCATAATCAACTCTAACACAACAAGATACTAAGTTGAGAAGAAAAATTGCTTCATCAGGAACGCAACAACCTGACAGCACCTGGCTGTAGCCTGTAGGGGGGCTCAGCCTAAAAGAAGCCTAAATGCAGTTCGTTCATGTGTGTACTAAAAAGCTTCAGTTCGTTTCCAGCAAAGGCAATAGATGTACAACCAACTAAATAAATAATGTAAGACTTCCCTCCAACTCCAAATCAGTGTTCTACTAACTTCACATTGTAATTCAAACATTATCAAAATACACAAACATAATCAACAAGATAATTGCTAGCAAGCAAACGAGCAACCCTGAGACAAGATTTTAAGCAAAAAGAAAAAGACAAGGTAGCAGACCAATTGAGAGGAAATAACAAGTACTGATGGTATCAGTCTCATTTATAACTTAACCATGTGACAGACTGACTGGTAGAGAAAAAACTAAGAAAAAATAGAACTTCAACTATGTGACAGACTGACTGGTAGAGAAAAAACTAAGAAAAAATAGAACTTCAAAGTACAACCTTACCCTTGGGATAATAAGAAATGTGTGTGCCTGTTTAGTCTACAACACAAATTAAATTGGCACACATGGAGATGAGTGAGTATGCTAACTGCTAAGTATTCATCATTGAGCTTTTTGTGAAAGTAGAACTTCAACTTCAATCTTCACTGTTCACCAACTACCAGCGCACATGAATAGGCAGCAGTAGTTATCACTGGAAATTTTCCGCATCAAAGAAAAACTAGATATAAAGGACACAGCAAAAACCAACAAGGAATCCTTTTTCCCCCCCTAAAAAATCAGTAGTGAAGCTAAAAATTAAAAAAGTGGTTGAATAGTCAAACAGGAAGCTGCATTGAATGCAGCAGCAGTAGCACTAATCTCTGATATTATCTAAGCATTAAAAGTAGTGAATTTTATTGCCAAGCACTTGGCTTTAAGAAGACAAATGCCAATTGATATGCAAGGCAAGGAAAAAAAAACAAAGAAAGAAAGGTTAGGCCTCTAATGAGCAGTGTGTCAACTTCGGAGGGGTACAATCACACGGATACTGCACAAGTAACAATGATTAAGTCGAAAAGTTCCCACTGAGGACTAACACAGTACCAAAGTCCGTGAGAAGAAGATCTCGTTAGACAATCACTTCACTTAAAGGTAGGAAAGATCAAGTCAGTTTTTTCTCTCTCTTCTATATTTTCCACACAATAAGCTCCAATTGATGTTCAAGTTTCTACAAACCAATTTTACTGCATTTCCTTTGGCCATAAGACTGAAAAATGATACGAAGACAACCACATAACCTAGAAACTCAATTAATTAAAACAAATTTCCAGCTTAATTGCTACTTTCTTCTGTTCTCCTTGCTTTTTACTTTTGGTGGAGAAGGGAACGATCTCACCACTGTTAAACATCTTAACTTTCCACAAAATCTAACTTAAGCAATAATTCCAACAAGGAATCAAAAACACATTGAAACCAACTCGGAAGCTGGAAAATACATTAAAACCAATCAACAATGCAGGTTGTATACAGTACAACGACACAAACAATAAGGAAATCTAAGCATAAACTAGGGGGGAAAATAATAAGGAAGCGTGACAGAAAAGAAGAAAAAACCTGATTGCAACGATCGCACGTGAAGGGCAAGAAATCAATCAACTTGCAATCATCAACAGCGCAATGCTTTCCAAGATCCGGGAATTCGGGAGTTCCCATTGGAGGATCAAAATCAGCTGCCACGCAAGAAAGACCGAGACGAAGACTTGGCCGACAATTGAGAAATAAATTCCGGCAATAATATATAGGGAAGCTGAATTTAGAATCCGGATTTTCCTGGGCGAGTAGGAATTGAAAATCAGGATTTTTAGATTTCCGCGAATATAGAAAGCAGGGCGAGAGAGAGATAGGGAGAGAGAACAACAAAGGAACGGACGGCGAGGAGGAAATCGGAAGTCGCCGCAGTCTTTGAACATTAGTCGCCTTATTTATTTAGTTTTTACCCTTGGATTTGGTCATCCAAAACACCATGGATTGCCGCTCACATGATCACATCCAATGGGAATGTAGTTCATCCGTGATTTTGACGTAATAATTTAAGCGAGGCAATCATTTTAATGGTCTAGTTTAAATGAATAAAATTATGGAAAATTTTCCCTAGACTCAACGTAATTAAAAAAAAATCAAAACTATGAAATTCCACTTCATATTTGGAGATTGAAATTAAAAAACTAATTCAAATGACATTATTGTTGTGAAGCTAAAAGCATGAATAAAAATGAATAAATGATATATAAAAAATGAATAATTGACATCAGTAAAATGATATTCCTTTGATCCTATTTATAAATCACTTCTAACATATTTCATCAGTATCAAAAAAAACTTTAAAACTTGTTACCTTTATCTTAAAATTTAATAAGTTTTTAACTTTATTTCTATTAAATATACACATTTCAATAATATATTTTCTCTCTTTAACATTTAGTGGAGGGTAAAAAAAATCTATGACAAAAATTTGATGATGTGACTTCTAACTAAAATAAAAAAAATTTCTTTCTACCTTATAATAAGGATCAAAAAGAATAGTTACAAATTTACAGTAATATTATATTGTCAATGAGAGTTGTAAATTTTATTTACATTAATGATTCATTTTTTATACTTTAATTATTCATATTTTCTACACGAGTTGTTCACGTGCTTACCTTCATTAGGGATAATAAAATCATTTGAGTTAACTCTTTAATTCTATTTTAGCTTTTCAAATGCGCTTTCTAACATCGATGTTTAATATAACCTCTGGTTCTTTTTTATTATATTGGGTAAGGGGGTTGACTGAAATCTTTTCCGATAAAATTATCTTCTCATCTTATATTTTATATATTCTCGTTTTTTGATTAAAAAATGAATAAAACCTAATTATTTGCTATTGAGCCACAGAGAAACGAACATATGCATCTTTTTTTTTTTTTTTTTAAATATGGCCAGGGCAGTGTTGCCCCTTCACGTTAATGATTTTACAAGGGAGTTTATAATTTTGTTTTCCCTTTAAAGATGCACAAATTCTTAAGGTAGTTGCAACTTAATATTTCAATTATTAATTTAAAAGACAAATAGAATCTTTACCAATATTTTTGCAAAATATACCAAGAAATACACCATATACAGTTATAATAAATTGATTAAGAACTTTTTTTATCCGAAAATTGTTTATTTAATGTCACCAAAAAATGCTTATATCTTTTTAATTGTTGTCGTTGTTATAATATAAATAGACACCATGTTGGCACACTGTAACATCATGGATTCAATAGGATCACTCTAATCAATTACCGCAATTCTTTTCTTATGATTTTTTGCCATAGTTAAGATTACCAATTTAACAGCAAAAAATGGTTAAAAGGTTGAGTGCGCGTGTTTTCAATAGAAGCTGAATACCATTACAATTCTAGTAGCAGGTACACAAAGATCAACAAAACACTAAACAAAAAGCAGACAAGAGCCTACACTCCTTTCTTTAGGAGATAGATAATGATCAAACAGACAAAAACTATTGACCATATTGTGAGAAAATGTAGCTAAAACTAATGATCAACCTCCTTCATGTTCCCTATCTCTATGGTTGAAGATGATACTGTCATCCTTGAAGAGGAAGGATCTAGTTTCATCTACCAAGTCCCTAAAAGGATGATTATAATCACAGCCACATAGAACAAAATTTATGGCTTGAAGTTTATGAATTCCCCTTGCCCAGCATAAATGCAATCCTACCAATAAGCCCAGCTATTGTGTAAGGAACTAAAGTCAATTTGCAACTAAAACCACAAATCTAGTTGTCATTCTTGTAGCCCATGGTTCCACCGCAACTACTGTCACTGGTTGAGCGCTCGTTTTAGTTCGTAATCCCCCACCCCCACCCCCCTTTTTAAATGGCATTTGCATACATAAAAATCTTCAGACACTTAATTAGAGCTTCAAAAGGAAAGAAATGAAATATTACAACATAATCTAGTAGACTAATTGAATGTTCAGTTAAAACAAAATTCTAATAAATATTTAAGAAATCGTAATTTACATCGATATCGATTAAAGATCTTAACATATTTTTGAAAGTTGTAGTAGTAAAATGCTGAGAGGAGTTCTCCCCACCAAGTCCAAGCGCCATGGCAAAGCATATAATGTTCCCATGAAAGACGAATCATTACCCCAACACAACTCACGTAACAAAGTTTCGTATTCGAAAATGGGTTAATGTCCATTGAATTGAAACTTAAAACGGCAAAACCAAAAATAAACATGGTGTTCCTGAACACAAAAGGAAACATACATGACCAGAAATATGTATGTTACTAGTTCCTATCACCGGATTCTTAAAATCCAATGAATCCTGGCAGGTTCAAGCTTCGACTCTTTCTTCCTCCAGGATTAGTGCCTTACCAGCAGTTTTAGCCAACAGATCTGTGTACTCTTGGAATGGAGATTTGGTGAAGCGAGTCTCCCTCCAGAACTCAGGCGTTAGGAACCCGTAGGTTTTCAGCAAACAGTCAAAAGTGGCCTGCAAAAAAAGAAAAAGAAAAAAAAAGACCGTTACGGACATAGCTAACAAATAACTTGTAACCTATGATGAAGCGCTTAGTAAAAGAATAGCTTCCAAAATCTTTTTGATTCCGTATCAATATCATAGGTTATATAAGAAATATTCCTGAATTCTATCTACATTTTTTTGGCACCCCAATTTATAGAAGTCACAAGCATAGGTACAGATAAAACTGACAGCCGAAGCAAAAGATCTGAAACACCAACTTTGCAATGCCCCTCGACCAAATCATTTCAACGTCCCCAAACATGTGTACAGATAGCATTCAGAGTGCGTTCTAATCACCAAAAAATTTGCAACATTGCTTGGACATCTACTGCGTCATTAACTTTCTCAAGCAGAGACCAAACCTAGGTTGCATAGATATAGGTACAAGTATCCAATACAATACAGCCATACGGCAAATTTCTAAAATTTTAGGATACCAGTATGGAGATATTTACAATACATATTTTAACATTTTATAATATAGGTATACGTATTTTAATTTTTAAACAAAAATTTTTAAAGAATATAAGGATGTTTATAGCAATGAACCAAAATATTAAGTGTTTTTATCAAATTTTTAAGTGATATAATAAAAAATTATTGGAAAAAAAATTATATTACAAATATTAAAATATGGGATATGCATGTAGAAGTATCTTGCAAATATAATATCGGATCTGGATACGTCTGTGCTTCATAGGACCAAACTGAAAATAAGAACATGGCAATTTAATATAGCATTCAGTTAACCCACTACTCTGCCTTGAGACTGAAAGTGAAACCAAAGATCAAGGGACTCAAACACATCTCAATTCAACATGGCCAAACATGAACGGGGCAATGAAGTTTAACAAATCATTGCAAAGATAACAATTTCGCGCACAAATATACATATCGTCTCTTCAGCAGCTCAGGGCAGACTAAGATGACGCCGGATTCATGGGATGCAAATAGCATGCCATAAATGGCTATGACATGCCGATTGAAATAATACGTCAGATAAGCACATGAGACAGATTTACCAATATCAATTCGAAAATTAAATAAAAAATGGATCGAAAACAAGTCATTGAATATATCAAATATTATTCGGAACAAACCTTGACAAAATTTCCAAGAGTCTTAGTCGACCCTCTTGAAGAAGTGAAGACATCCTCGATCCCTGCGAATTGCAATACCTTCTTCGGCACCCTAGCAGCAACAATTCCAGCACCACGAGGTGCGGGCACCATCCGCACAGTGACTGAACCACACTTACCAGTAACCTTGCACGGGACAGTGTGGGGCTTCCCGATCTTGTTACCCCAGTAACCTCTTCTCACAGGAATTACGGAGAGCTTGGCGAGTATAATAGCACCACGAATGGCCGTGGCAACCTCCTTGCTACACTTAACGCCGAGGCCCACGTGTCCGTTTCCGTCACCAACGACAACAAATGCCTTGAACCGAGTTCTCTGCCCAGCCCTGGTCTGTTTCTGTACGGGCATAATCTTCATGACTTCATCTTTGAGGCTGGGACCAACCAAGGTATCAACAATTTGGTGCTCCTTGATCGGGAGAGAATGAAGATAGATTTGTTCAAGACTGCGGATCTTTCCCTCCTTGACGAGACGGCCAAGCTTTGTCACCGGAACCCATTTCTCCTCCTCTTCACGGCGACCACCAGCTCGGCGTCGTCCACCACGGCCACGATCGCCGCGACCACGGCCGCCGAAGCCACGTCCAAAACCACCACGATCTCCGCCACGCTCAGCCATAATTGTCAGCAGCAACAAAAGCAACCCTGTATTGCGAGAGGAAACTCACCGCCGCCAAAGGAGAGTGAAAGGACTGAAATGAATGGGGCCTTTCTTATAAGAGAAGCGGCGAAGTAAGCCTCGACGAGACAGCCTAGGGTTTTTGGGAAGATCGCGGGCACGTTTGTTTTCAAGGATACAGTAAACCGGTATAAAGGCAACATCTAGAGGTTCAATTTGTACTCGTCCCGATTGGCCTGATATCGTCTCGATCATATCGGGACGGGTCTTATCTCGGCCTGAAAATAATCAAAATGAGACTTTATGGGACGGGACAGAAAAGAGGTTCGGGATGGGATGGGACACGGGATTATCATCGGATGTCCCGTCCCGTCTCGAATATTATATATATTTTTTTATTTTAAATATATTAATTATATTAATATAATTTATACTTATGTTAATTATATCAATTATAATTTTAATACTTACAATTTTTATTTAAAACTAAAGTGTTTTTATATTGATAATTTTAATGGCATGGAGTAAACATGGCGATATCTTTTTTTATAATATATTAATTATATTAATATAATTTATTCTTATATCTATCTATTTAATAGCTTTTATTTATAACATATTTCTTGCTTATTTTTAGAAGAGTAATTAGCTTAGTACATGTTCACTAGAGTAGAAAAACAATTATTTGATGTTGTATTTGACTTGCCTGTTGTTGCTAATCTTATAGCATAAAGATCACTTATATTTTTTATTATAATATGTAGTTGTGATTAATATAATTCAATAATTAATTTTAAATTATTGTTATTTATTTATTTGTGTTATTTTGATTTTAAACTTAATAAATTATATAATTTAAAATTTTAATGAATATTATTATTCAGATCTTTTTTCGATATTATTTCATTTATCGGGACGGCGGGACGTCCTGATCTTGTCCCGGTCCCGTCTCGACTCTTAACGGGACGGGACGGGACGACTTTCGAAACGGGACGGGACACGGGACCAAAATTCAATCCCAATTTTTTTTTGGACGGGACACGGGACGGGGGTGTCTCGGTCCCGTCCCATCCCGTGAACACCCCTAGCAACATCTTTGTCACCCTTCGTTTTTGGACTTATAATTTTGATGGGCTGCGTTTTTTGACTTATAATTTTGATGGGCTGTTTGCTCCTAATGTTACACAGAAGTCAAATCTCATTGTAAATGTTTAATGTTTATAAAGTAATAATGCAAGCTATTAGTTCGTGAGAATGTCTAATTGAAGTAATGATATTCATATTATGACGTTAATGTAATAATAAAAATGATTGAGTGATATCATTTTTAGTAGAATATTTAGTATACAGAAATTTACATTGTAAATGGAAAGCAGATATTAAAAGAAACTTGCATGATATACTATAATTCAATAATTCATCAAGCGCTCTCGAATCGAAAAGGCATATTATGTTCTGAATAAAAAATATCAAGTATGGTGTAGTTAAATATTGAGAAAAGGCTTAACATAATTTAAAATTAAGTTTTGGGGCCAAAATCAAGCTTTTTTTTTTTTTAGGGCGAAATATGAGCCCAGCAAGTAGAGACTGATGTAGGACGAATGGTCCAGTAAAGGGATATCATTCCATTTAAAAAGGGCATGAGATCCAAAAGCGAGGTTCTGGGCCCAGTAAATTTGAGGAAAATATGGGCCAGACCACCAGTGCTGCAAAATAAAGACAAAAGAAAGAATCCCATTTAAAACTTGAAGGTAGTGTTTAGTTAAAAGGAAGGAAAGGGACTCCTCTCTTCTTATTTGGTAAGGTAAAATTTCTCCTTTTCTCCTCTTTCCTTGCTTGACAAGGTAAATTTTTTTCTCTCCTTTTTTCCAAACCAAACACTATCGAAGTGTTCCAACTGAAGTAAGAAAGGCTCTTGGTCAAAAGTCAAAACATGCAACGGATTGCCAAACGCATACGTTGTACTAGATCTATTAGACAAGTGACACTTTCCTGAAAAAGAACAGTTGTTTTTGGGATTTTACTATTAATTTTTTCTGATTTATAGGACAAAGCATGTGAGATTAACATCCAAATGCATATAAATCAACACTTGGACTTCTTAACAATGCCAGTTTTGAATGTTTTTTATATGAGCTGTACTATGTTGTTACATTCACAGATACCTTTGCAGCAGAAACATATTGGTCCATGCTCTTGAAGAGTCGTTGTGAAGTGTGTCCTCAGTGAGAGGTCATCAAGTGTTCTGTACCTGTCCGAGTTCCTACAAGTTGACAACGTGCCAGCCAAATCTAGACGCAGAGCTCTTAGCTCTCAAATTTCTGGCCGATACGGATCATATGCTGTGGGAAACGGTGTAGTAGCCAGGAAGTGAAAAAATTCTTACTGCAAATTTGTATTTAATGACTAGTAAAAAATAAGTGTGTAAAGGGATTTTTCATTTGCAAACACACAATCACATTTTATTTAAAATAAAAATTTACAAAGAATATAATATTTTTAATAAATCTGTTAACCAACAATTTAAATGTTATTTAAATGGTTCAGTTTAATATTAATTTTTTAAATTAACTATCTAGATATTTTTTGGACAGTTTGAATTTAATTTTGGCTTATGTTTAAAATTTTTAACTTGTAATTTTTCTAAAAAAATCATTTTTTAAAAATTGCTAGAAATATTATCTTTATTTTTAATATTGTATTTATCAAAATAAAAAATTATAATAATTATAAAATTTTTAATATTAATTATAAATTATTTAAAGTATATCTGAATAGTTAATTTTATAAAAAAATAAAAAATTAATTTTAAACTGAATAAAAAATTATAAACCCAAGCTTCATACTCTTATTTCTCATCAGTTGTTAGATAAAAATTTACGGTGGGAATTTTCTTTTTTACAGCCATTGTACCGTTTTCCACCGCACATGATCCGTATCCAATTTCTGGCAGGCACGTACCAATCATAATAGCATGAAGCAGAGCGCAAGAGCCGTGAAAGATTCTCGGAAAGCTTCGAAGCAGCGAAACAAAACAAAATCACGGGTATTAGGAAAATATTATATCTGATTTATCTAAAGACAGCGTGGAATTAAAAAAAATAAAAAAGTTCGCAAATGGCCTGATGCTTTAGGCGGTCAGAGACATGACATGAACATGTGACATGTGAGAGAGGACAAATTGAGACGAGAAATAAACTATTTTTAATTGTGAGGTCGCAGTGCAGCCCAAGACCCTCCACTGACAAGCTAAGAGTACCGTTTCTACTTTATGTAGTTATTAATAATAATAATGAGTTAATGGGTGCTCAGAAGCTTTTTGCCTTCATCTATATTTTTGGGACCTCAAAAGCCTCACCTGCTAGGGGAAAAAAACAAACAAAAATACATGTGAAATAAAACACCAAAGAGATCCTAAGCAACAACAAAAAGCAAACGAACGAAATTTATATTGCCACATCCACTTGATAGCATTGAATAATGATAGCCAGCTAGTTCATTTTCACGCCCTTTCTGTTCAAGTTCACAGCTTTTATTCTTCACTCTCATCTCCTTTCTCCCTTCTAAACTCGTATAAGAGATCGTCCGTATTGTTCGTCCATGGAAGCAAGGCTGGAGAGCTCAATGCAGCCATTAATGGTGCCTCCGCCGAGGGGGGAAGAGGCGAATCGTTATTCTCACAGATCAATAGAGACGCTTGTAGTGGTTCTGGCAGTGATCACCATAGTGGGTGTGCTTGCAGGAATAGTGGCTCGTCTCTGCGGTGGAAGGCACTTTGGAGGGGATGGAGAGAACGATATTGAAGGTTGGGTTGAGAAGAGGTGCAGAAGCTGCATCGACGGAGGCCTGCCCCCGCCGCCAGCGGCGGAAGAACCTAAGCCAGTACCAGCAGGAGGAGATGAAAAGAAGTGAAGACTATATAAGAAGCAGAATCCTAACAGAGACTTGTAAGTTAGTAAGCATAAAGCTTGATAAAAAATTGTCAGTAAGGGTGAATATTTAATGTGTTATATATATAGTGGGGTAAGAGAGAGTTTATACAGCTTTTAACCACAGTGCAGCCCTGTGTTAGTTTTAGAACCCAAATCATTCATGTTTGAGTCTGACAGACCCGACGACTTACTGTTCCTGGAGTTTCACCAGTTTCATTCTGTTTCATGTTGCCTCTTCTGATAGTTATGTTTGGAATGGAGAAACTGTTTTTTCTTCTTCTTGTATTAAAAAGCGAGCGTTTATTTCCTGGTAACTAAGCAAGCCTCTCCATCCTCAAAAAGATTGCATGTCAACAAATACAAATCACCGTGATGTTCCAGGTAATAGAATACAGACTAGAAACCAGAGAGTTCCACTTTTTCATGAACTTAAGGGGAAGAAAAAATTGAATGACTTAATGTTAACAGTGAGACATATGGATGGATAATATACATGATATTTATTGTGCATATGCGAGTTTTAATTTATTAAACTACATATAGAATTTTAAATAATTGAAATTCGATGAGTAATATCTTGAGAAAATCACGTTGGGCCCTACGCATAACTTCTGGGGTAAAATCTGAAATGAATGTATGCTCCATAATGATGTTGTCCACATGGGAGCACTAATAAGAAACATTTTAATTTAACCGTTCAAAGAAGGGGGGGAAAGCACCAACGCGCAACAAGGCGTTCGTCATGGACAAAAAGAAACATGCTTTAGTGAGCGTTCGAATCTTACCGTTGCAATTGCTAATACTCACTTTAGGAATAGGAACTCATCAAATTTATATACTTAATTTTATATATTCATTACATTTATTTTTAATTAAATCAAATTATGTGAATTTTATATAGATTATTTATTTTATAATAAATTCTTATTATTAATTTTATTAACATATTAATACGCACTTGTCGAGATTTAATTAAATATAAATATATTAAGTATGCAAAGTTAAGTTTATAACTCTTACCTTTATGAAAAATAAGTACTCCCTATAAATAGAACACTTTTAAAAAATAATTTTTAATTTAAAATATAAGATATTTTGTAATGAATAAATTACTTTTTTTCAGGTTTATCCTTTTTTAATTAACATAAAAGCATTTAATCTAGTTGTTTCATTATTTAAAATTAAAAATAAAAATAAAATTAGATAACATGTTTTATTATATAAAAAATTAATTTTTTAATTTGCATGAAATAAATTAAAAATATTTTATAATAAAAATTGAAAGAAGTAATTAATAAGGATCCTCTTTTGTTAAGCCGAGTTTACTCGATTTGGACGTTGGCCCACAAAAAAGTCAACTTGGACTACTCATTTGGTAGTATACGGCATACGAATCAATAGCAACAAATAATATGGGCCCTCTTAATGCCCATGGTTAAATTATGCCCAGTTTTGTGGTTGTTGCTTCCTTATTTCCCATTGTCATCTTACAGAGTTACAGTAAACAGCAATACTTATTTAAGAACAACTTTCTAGTACGTTTATAGTCAAATTATTTAATTAATGATAAATAGGAAATTATATATTTAAGAACAACTTTCTTGTACGTTTATAGTCAAATTATTTAATCAATGATAAATAGGAAATTATCTTTTAACAATCACATGACAAAAATACAATCCAAACATATGTGACTGTCATAAATAAACATTACTTGATTAAATTTTGTTAGAAATTTTCTTGACGCAAATAGATCCCTTTGAATAATTGTAGCATGTGTGATTAGGGTGGATACCCAAAAATAAAACTTCAAGATAGAAACTAGATTTAGGAACATAAACTCAAGATTAAGATAAACATCATATAGAGAAGAAAAGAGGTTTGCAAATTTGGAATAGGTTTCAATATCACTCCAGGACACTACTCTCTCTCTCTCTTTTCAAATAAAACATGACACGATAAGCAATGCAAGGCAACAAAACAGCTAATTTACATACATAATCTGATTCTTCTGGGTCCATCACCTCTCTATAAAAAAAAATGGAGGTTGATCAAAAATACAAAAACTTCCCATACCATTTAAAGTATGCTTAGCAAGATTATGAGCACAAGAATTGGCCTCTCTATGCATAAAATTCAAATAAATAGAATTAGAAGTATTTAGGCAATTCTCGGCATGCTCAATGGTCCCTGAAAGGGTGTTGGCTCACATCAGCTCTCGTGTTTAGGTTGATGGCCTCGACACAATTTATGAAAATATTACTCTTTGAACTCCTAAATTGCAACAAAGGTCAAAACCCTATATAATGCCAATAACTTCAGTAATAGCCCCTAATCCAATTAGCTCGACAATCTCTAATCACACTTCCATACCTGAAAATATCATCCTTATAGGATCCATCAATATCTATGCGATACTCATTATCCATAGGTTGAAACCAAAAATATTGATTTTTCTGTGGGTTATTAAATAGAGATATTGAGGAATTAAGAATGTTAATATCAGCCTGTACCCTGTGTAGAGTTGCCACACCTGACCTGATGTCCTCGCCATTGTCATCACTCATCAGAGAAGAGCTTCCTACACCTGTAGCACCACCGCGTATCCCAACAAACATAATCAAACAGGATATCATAGGGTACTTGTTTGGTGAACTCCTTGCCTGCTTCATGATTCAAGTTCCACATGAGCCATTTCTCACCATTCAAACTTTTGAATTTGTTCCAGGACTCTGATATGACTAGACTCGCCACCTCTCTTCCACCTGCAGATAGTTTATCAATAGATGCATAACATCCTCTCTCTCTCTCTCTCTCTCTCTCTCTCTCTGTGGACATCCCAAAGGGCATACTATTTCAAGATGAATCTTAAAGGGCATAACATCCTCTCTCTGCAGACGGTCCTGGACACTATTTCAAGAGGAATCATTTTTTAGGCCTCAATCTTTCATGATGAGCATACTTCTGAGTGTATTTGGTAGAAACTAAAGAAAATAGAAGGAGGTGGGGGGGGGGGAGTGCACAGTGAAGAATATTAAACATCAACATCATACATCTTCATTCTCGAGCTCAGACTCCTCCGATTATCATTTCCACATGACATAGATGAGAACCCACAGGCTATTGCTCTTACATGTCTTTTGACTGTTTAGCCCACATTTAATACTTAACTGTATTTCAAATATGATTGTTTCTAATAAAAGGACATATATGAGCAATAAAAAAAACTTCATGAGATTCAATTGATTGATCCCTCATTCCCTTTTGTCTGTAGCATCCTTGACTTAATCAGCAATGGGGCAACCTAATCTGACAAATTCAATTGAGATGTTAGTTTGTGTAAAAGCAAAAATTAACCATCAACATGTAAATTATGGTAAAGAAAATGCATTAGTACTTAGTAGTTAGTGTTGTTTAATTGCTTGGTGTATTTCAGGTCTTTATCATCCAATAATAAAAAACAGATCACAGCCATTGAAGCAAAATACTTTCCAGAAATTCCCTCCCTCGTCTTGCTTGGTGTATTTCAGGTCTTTTTTTTTTTTTTTAAATCTCGCTTTTATGTATTTTTTTCTACTTTATTTTTTCCATGTCCATCCAAACATAGTAGAACCCTAGGCAGTCGGAACTCTGTTTTGCACTCTATAAAGGCCAACTCCTTTTATATTGATATCTTAATACAGTAAAGCATCGGTCTTAATAGTTAATACTGCCGAGCGTGAAGTGGGTGCGATTTTTCACATTAATTTCTGCTTTTTCAAACACTGCATGGTGTCATGAGATGATCAGAACTGGCAATAGTATAGTAACATGCCAAGAATCGTAGACCTAAGTTGGCAAATTTCACTAGCTAAACTAACCTTAAGTCATGCCAAGCAACAATTAATTTCATATATTAAATCAAGTTCGATGATAAGTTAACAGGAAGAAGTTCAACTCTGAATTTTAAGGGCATCCTTTAACCACAGAAAGCAAGACAATGCAACTTAACAGTAATCAGCTTGCTGTTGTATGAGCCTGAAATGAATCACAATCCAAAAGTCAATGACATCCGCTATGTCCTTTGCTCCGTCGTGGAACTAAAGATTATGAAGAAACATGCAGATTGAATCGTTACCCTAGAAAACAAAATGATGAAGCCAAGCCAGTAAGTTCTTCAGCTTTCTCTAGTTTCGCATTGACAGTCAGATGGTACCCAGCTATGACATCCTATGATTTATTGATTTGACAACAACTAGACATGATGGATTCTGCAACGGGAGCTAGATAAAAATCATCAAACTAAAATTCGAGATTTGCATTTCTTCACCCTGCTAACCCACGACAACCAGATTTGGAATCACAAACAATCGGATCCGATTCTGGAAAACAAATAAACAGATCTAGGGTTTGTACAGAAGGGGAAAATGATCAACAGCAAACAACAAATCAAACTGGGAACCGCATACATAATTTCTTACCATAATCAACGGGGACAAGTCAAGAGACGCAAGATCCCTCTTGCCGACAGTTACCATTTCCATTTTACGTATGGAGAATCACAACCCTGACAAAAGAGGCGCACAACTGATCCTTCTTCTCCTCAAGAATAGAGATAAACAAATCTTACACAGATCAAGTGAACATGGTATCCGTATTTCTTATGGCCAGACATGTTTTCTATAAAAGGCTGGCGCAGTCTCGTCTGCGTGCGAAAATATCTCCGAATTGTTTTCCTTTTAAGACATGGGCCGCCGTGCAATCTCGTCCTTTTGAACAAAAATCAGTTCCCAGTTGTTTTTGTTAGGATTGCGATCCTCCATAAATAAAATATAAATGTGATGATTCAAATCAAAAGGAAGAAAAGAAAAGAGGAAGATTGCCGGCTCCGGCCGGCTCGACCAGTTATACCTTTTAGTTGGAGAGAGATAGATAAAATGATAAAATTTATACGCTACCTTATTTACATAGAATTATAATAAATTATTATTTATAAATCATGAACAATATAATTTATTTTTTAATTTTTATTTATAGATAATGAAATTAAAAAACATCTGTTTTGTTATTTTTAAAATCTGTCACATGCGACTTGAAAAAAAAAAATTAACAATTTAAAATTTTTTTCCCTAACACATTACACGAGCTTCCTTTAAAATCATATATTGGAAGACATGCAATGCAAGTTGAGTTTTATAAAGATGTTCTCTTACAAAGTTTACCTAAGGAAAGATGTGGGCGTGTATATATACATATATATGTATAATATTTCATTTGAGGAATATTTGTGTCGGTGAAATAAACAAGTCAGTTAAACTTATTTTCAAACTTCGATTGAGTTTTTTTACCCATTTTTATCAGTCAACCTTTTTTGTAACGGTATATTTGGTGAACCTTTGGGTAAGGAAGTTGTTATTAATGTTTGCAAGAAACGAATTAAACACTCAAGGCTCACAATCTCTGTCTTCTTGTTCTTTTTTTTGGCAGCTCGATGTAGAAAAGTATGGCCAAGTGTAAAATATTAATTTTGCAGATTTCGAAAGGTGCTTATTAAGCCATATACATTTTTTTGGGTTAACAATAACAACTGGGTTGAGCTTTTTTTTTTTTTCTTTTAAAGGATTGTGAGATAATTTTTTTGAACCGAAAAAAAGCTATATTAACTTGAAAAATAGGGAGTGCCGAATATCATTTTCGAGTTTGTAACCTAAAATTGTAAAAACATGTCGTATCCATAACGCAGTTAAGTTGGGAAAAAAAATGACCGATATGACAAAACTAATGTATTAACAAAAAGATATCCAAAAATTAAAAATGCTTTCCAAAATTACTTTCATCTCCATTCAAGTAAAACTAAAGTACCGCTGAACAATCTCTCTTCACATAAACGCCTCAGAGAGACTTCCGGTATGTGATCTTCGACCAGAAATCTCATCAGTTAAAATCGCCTACAACGACGTCATGGAAGGTTCCCTATGTGGAAGATATATATTGAAAGGTGTTAATTAAAGAGAATTTGATGAAATGTTGAATCATTTACAATATTTGCTTTTAATGCATCCATACAAAATATACACAATAACAAGATAGATTCATGGTCCAGTGTGTTGTATTGTGGCAGTCCTTATCTCTGTGTGTTACCGTGATGGGTTGACTACGCTAATATATGAAATGTTGCAGACCAATACATATAATATGTACATACGAAGAATTAAATAATTGGCTTTGAAACTCTCAACTGACTACTATTAAATTTGAATATAATTTTTAAGAATTATTATTAAACACTACTCCCTCTGATTTACTTTATTAGTCACTTTTTAGAAGGGTAAAATGATCCACTTTATACTCCCTTTATCCTTATATATAAGATATTTTTGATCGAATTTTATATATTAATAAAGGTTTGTTATTTAGTTGAACTCACGTAAAAATATATTAATTTTTTAGTTGTATTCCTAATAATATCATAATTAATATCGTGATAATGGCAGAGAAAATATACAATTAATAATCTATTTTATTTTTCAAGTATAAAAATAAAATTATTTAATTACTCAAAAATCTCATTGTTACCCCTTATATTTAGGGACAACAAAAGCTTTTAAGAAATATCTTATATATAAGAATGGAAGGAGTAAGTCTTTGGATTGACAATAATGTTTTATTTTAAATAAAATGTTTAAACTACTCTTAAAAAGTAAGAAAGAAAGAAATAAAAAAATAATATTATATAGTTTATTTATTTTTTGAGGGTTATATTTGTAATTTTATTAAATTTTATTTTTTATACTTTTGTTATATTGATATTGATAAAGTTGGTAGAAATAACTTATAAATAAAATTGAAAGGAATATGTATGTACATCCATACGTACCTGTTGTAGAAAGTAATATTCCCTATGAACAGCGTCTATGTACATTAATACACCAAACCAATATCAATAATCCATCACACAGGCACACACTACTACTGTATACGGGGATCCAGTTTTGCACTCGTTCTATGGGCAACGTGGGGAGACGGATCCAACGTAGGACAAGAGAGCACTTTCACATGAAGCTTTAGGAATCTGTCCTCCTTCTTGTTGGAGGTCTATGTTTTGCAGCACAACCCCCTCACATGGAAAGCTTTGGCTGCAGTTCAAGCTCACTGCAACTTCAGAAGCACTCGTTCCTTTTATGTTCTCGTACAACACATTCTTGATCTTAACCGCAGAGCTCTGCACATGTGCAAACCACAAGCCAAACCAGATCAGATAGTAGTGTGTGTGTGAATATATATGAAGAGGTTGAGAATATCTCTTATGAATTGATTAATTACCTTTTGTTCGCATGGAGTCTTCTGGTCACAGTAGTTCTGGTCTATTATTATGGGGTTAGTCACATTTTCCATCATAATATTTTGAAACTTGATCTTGCTTGCACTTCCTACCCCTCCCTATGAACCAAACAAATCAAATTACATGTAAATGACCAGAATAAAATTATATTCACATATGTTAATATCAAGAGATTATTAATGCAGAAAAGTTAAAGGTAATTACTTACTTGCCACGTCTTAATTCTAACACCATTTGTTGTTCCATAAAGCTTAGCTCCATTCACTGTTATTCCCGACACAAGTTCCTCGGTTCCGGTCTCCCCTAAGTTTCCAATGCTGTTTCATTGTTAAACAAAGGAATTATATTATTGACAATTTAAAGTAGGTTAATATTAATTAATATGGCATCTTCAATTGAAATTTTTTAATTAAAATAGATATTTACCGGCAATTATTTGCATTTACCTGATACCATGGCCGGGTCCGCAGGTTATACCAGTGGCCAGTAAGTTCTGGGTTCCACTTTCTATTGACAGACAATCATCTCCTACAAACGCCTCGAAACACAACAACGATTAAGTTAAAGATAAAGGATTAGATTTCAGATCGAGTGTAATAATTTAATTACTTTATTCAGCATATATATACCTGTGGCTATAAGAGAGTTTAAGATTTTGATATTTTTGGTGTTGGTGATGTGAATTCCATCAGTGTTGGGGCTATCCTCTGGTGCATTCACTGTAACACTAGAAATCTTCACGTCCGTGGATTCTTGAATTTTCACATGGATTTGTTGTGCGTTTTTAATCATCAGGTTCTCTACTATCAGATCCTCACACTTATAGAAAGTCACAGCCTGCAAACCCAACCATTAATCCTAGTTAAAACATGTAACAAGACACTTCCAAGCACCAAAACGAACTCTTTGAGTTCACCATTTTGTAATATCTGTGTAATAAAGTTTATGCTTGCGTAGTAGCGTACCGTTGGAGCGCTCTGGCAAGGCTGTAAAATTATAAAGAAACGGCAAATGGAAATATATTTAGTATATGTCTGAAGAAAAATATGCGTGCTAGAGAACTGGAAAGCGATAGATGAAATGAACATTATAGGGTTCTTAAATATATATGTACGTACGAGACTTGGGTTGGTTTTGCAGGAGTTTTGCCACCATGTGTCTCCATTTCCATTGACGGTTCCACCTCCTTGGACTGTTAGTTTCTGAAGACTCTCGAACATAAGCCAGTGCTGGTGGTCTTGAGTGTAGTCCGATGAGTTCTCTGATGCTTCAAGTGTCCCAGAAATCTGAAAAGTTCAAATGACAAGCAAGGATGGTTTCTTGTTTATGGCAAGCATCGCTTGAATTGGAAAACAGATTCACTATAAGTATAATCTAGTCCCTGCTGCATGTAACTAACCTGGATAGCAATGCTAGAATCGCAGGGACCTGAGAATCTGACAGGCTTGAGAAGATAATTATAATCGGAAGGCACCACAAGAATTACGTCTCCTCCAGAAGAACATGCAACTTGCCAAGCCTTGTTGAATGCCTGAAATAAAAATAGACACACACGTCCCATTAGAGAACCAAAAAAAAAAAAAGGTCATTTACTGGATCACCAAAGTCGCACGTTGTTATTTTGGAAAAAGGAAAGCTTTGAATTCATGTAATATATAATGTTGGCACTTTAGAAGGTGATAAGTTACCTCTGTGTCATCGCTTTTACCATCCCCTTTAGCTCCAAAGTCATTGACATTGAACTTGGAAATTGATGAAAGAGACGTGACACCCAAATTAACAAACCTTTTTAACCTCAAAACTTGTGTTCTTTGCTGGATCAAGTTGTTGAATGTCCCACCATCAATGATGTTGTTTAGCGGGTCCTCTTGAGAGGTACCATGACAAGGGACAAGAGGAATAACAATGGTGACGATGATGCAGAACATTAAGAATGAAAGATTATGTTTTTGGAGGGCCATAGTCTTAGATAATGTTGTAGGGGTAACTAATAGAGGATAGGAAGATTAGTAGAATGGAAGTTTGAGGAGAATGTAAAGTGCGGATAATGAGTATTTATGGCGAAGATTAGGGGTAAATGGAAGAAGTTAATTGTTTTAGCGTTCATCTGAATGCAACTGGCATTACGGTATGGGAGGGTATGAGAGGTTGAGACGAAAGGGTTTCTCAGGCCACACCAATGACTTTTGTTCCATACCAAATCGGCTTGTAACGTCCACGAATCTGTCACTTATTTGCACCTATATCTACATATTTGTTCTATATATATAAAACTTGAAACAATACTCATATTAATTAAATATACGTTCAGTTAGCCAAATTTAGCATAGAAATACACGATGAGTATATGTGTGCGTGTGTGATATCCCTTGGAGGAAATTAAATCCCTTTTCTTTAACCGGCCACTTGATATTCTTGATTGAGATTTTGCATATTTGTCTGCTATGATCGAATTATCTTGAATTGTGAGTGAAAGTCATTGCGTATCATTAGTTTATTTAACATCTAAGGACTACACTTATTGATCTATTTCAATCTTCAATTAATCCCTCATTATTTGAAGGAAACTGATATATTACTGTTTAATTTCTCGTGATGTTAAGCTGCCCGACTTGTCCAATTTTTTGCACTTGGCTTCATTTTACCACCACTTGTTTTGAATGCATTTGCATTTATCAAGCGGTTTCCAACGTGATCAGTTAAAATATCTAATTAGCATGCAAAGTATATTTACTTTGTGGATCTTGATATCGATTCTCTACGTGCAGCACCCTATTACAGAGACATTTATCACTCCTTGAGTGGCTCATAACTAACGTTCAAGTTCAACCATATCCATATACCTGGTGGGTAGCGTATGTAAATCAGGGTTTCATTCATGCATTTCCATGATTAATAGAAAATTAGTAAAACTCAAGTTTGGCGAACTGACAATGGAGTGCAAGACATTCCAGTTTGACCCTTGGGAACAAAGCATTAATAACTCTTTGTGGCCTAAAAATTTTCCAAATCTTTCCATACCATATTAACGGCCACGGTGAAATCAATGTTGAACACGCCTTCGAATTAATTTCATTGCAAAATCCGTACTTATATCCATTAAATGGATGGGATTAGAAAAGGAGGACGATACCGAATAATCAGTTAAGAACAAATCTATAGATATGACTATCACCTGCATACATGGGCAAGAAGGATTCCCATCCACGTGGTAAGAACCCAGAGAAGCCACGTGGCATCATTGGGCACAAAATGGAGGTTTAATTTTGGGTAGATTTGGATGAAGATGCGACATCTGGTAATCAAGTTTTTGAAATGCTCTCGAGGTATGGAGGGGAGCATCATGGTCTTGAAACATGGCATGACCAACTTATCGTCATTAATTTGGAAACTTAGATTAACTAAAGGCAAAGAATGGTTAAAGTTGATCTCCATAGATAGAGTTTGAATGAGACATTGATCAAATTGAGAGCTAGCTTGCTTGTCCCATCATAACGTGATCTTCTTGTATTTTACTCCAATCTGAAACCTACGGTCTCTGTAAGAAACCTACTGTACATTTACACGTGCTGCAGATAGCTAGGAAGGCATATATCATGTTTATCCGAAACCAAAAAGTAGGCTGCGTGACCTACAAAAAAGATCGAGAAAAATTCTAATCACACATTAGGTTCGAGATTACGTGCCAATTGATTGCTCTGCGAGAAGCTAAAAGGCGAGAATCTAAGATAGCGAAGAAACTTACCTCGGCAAGATTGACACATCTTAAATTAAAAGCCGCACGCTCAATTCGCTCTCTGTGATTAAAAGGCGTTGAAGAGCGTTAAATATTGTTTAATTAATTATCGAGCCCTTTCTTTTTTTTGGGGTTGGGTATGAACCGAACCAATTGAATTTTGAAAGAGCTAGAAAGAATGCAGACAATAGAAAGGCAAATTGAATGAACTACCCTCACTTTAACTGGGGTCAATACGTTACATGATTAACGGATTAAGGTTGTTGTGTCTAATTCCATAAAGCCACACCCTTTATGTTTGATCACTCGTGATAAAGCTGTTTTTTTATGTTATTTCGATGCACGATATGTTATGATTGATTAAAAAAATGCTGCTCGCGTATAAATGCCGGTGCGTGCTGTTTTTAATTTCCAAAGCATATCTGGCATTGATGCTGTATTTTTATTCTGTGAATATAATATAAAAAATGACAAATTATAAATTCAAGCATTTTAATTTCTAATTTTTTAAAAAATAAAGGGAGAAACATAAGAATTATAAAAAAAATGAAATTTACAAGAGTATAAAACTAAACCACTGCATTGGACTTGATTGCATTTGAGTACGGACTCAAAAATAAAAATAGTAATAAAAAAGTGTGTTTGATTTGAGGGGAAAGGAGAAAAAGGGAGGGGAGGGAAAGGGAGGAAAGGGAATTTAATGGAGGAGAGATAGAGGTAGGTGAGGGGAGGGTTTTAATAAATATTTGTTTGATTTATGAAGGGAGCGGAGGAGGGAGGAATAAAAAATAAATTAACAATTTTATTTTTATCAAATTTAACTTGATTTTTATTTTTTACTTTAAAAAATTGTTATATTAGAATTTATTAAGTTTTTATTTTAAGAATATGAACTTATATTAATAAAAAAATTTGAATAACAAATTAAAAAACACAGCATTACTTACATATATATTTGAGATTTCCAAGTCCTTTTACAGACATACAAAGTTCAGATGATACAAAGCTAGGTATTATTGGATAGTGTTTCACTCAATGCGAGAACCATACTGAGATTGAAATATGAAACCTGCAAATCAGCATACCTCAAAATGAGGAAAGGTGTACAAACCCCGGCTGTTTCTTTCATCAAAAATCTCACCTCCCGTCATATCTCGAGCTTCTTCTCTAATCAAAACAAGCCTTGCAAGTAATTTTCTATCAGATACAACAGGCTGAGTTTCCTTTGTCTGCATATATTGTTTAGCACAAGACAATTACCCAAACAAAGTCAACAATCCATGTGGCTGCTTCAGACAAGACACAGGAAAACATGTCATTCAATTCAAAGATTTGAAAAAACAATCCATGCAGTAATTGCAAAGCTTGAGGCTAAAAAATACTTTTGTTAGAGCTTAAAAGACCAAGAACTGAAGTCTATAATCCATTTAAAACAAAGTTTCGATAACATGCACACTCCTAATACATGATAGTGTAAAAGCTATCAAATAATGTTTGCCACATGACAAGAAAAATTACAATAGAAAGCATTTAAATCACCCACTCGTCATTGCCTGTTTAAATTATATTTTATCAGTGATCTAATGAAAAATATTAAAATTTTATACATTAAAAAATTATATACTAATTTTTTGTAAAGTGATAAAATTTAGTTTATTATAAGAAAGAGAAATAAAAAAATAATACACAATATTTTATTATCAAAAGTAGTTTAAAATTTTTAAATGAATGTTTTAATTTAATTTAATTATTTTCTCTCTCCTCTCCCCTACAAAAAACTTCTAATTGGAGGGAAGGGTTAGGAAGGGAGGGAAGTGCTCCCCTCCCTTTTAGTTTTTTAACTAAATAAGGAGTTCCTTTTCTTCTCTTTATTAATTGCTAACCAAATAAGGGAAGGTCCCTCTACAAACTTTCAATCAAACACACAATGTTTAGCAACCAACAAGGAAAAAAGTCAAAACTAGATCAGGTCCATGCTCACATTTCAATTATTTTTTTAGGTCCAAATACTAATATGTTTTTGTTTTTGTTCTTCATCTAAAGCTTTGTTCCGCGGTTCTCATTTTCCTTTCTTTCCTTCCTTCCTTTTTCTTTTTTTTTTTAATACCAACAGTATCCCCAATTCTCCCTAACCATAGCAGCAATTAGAAAATGGTGGATGGACACATGCATGCTTCTTCGGAGTAAGATCTCCATCGAAGTTTTGTGAATAAAAACAATTGTCATTAAAATTGTTTTACACCTCTACCAAAAGCCCAAACCTAAAACATCGTTAATTCCTCTCTCATTTCAATTTCACCTAACCCATTCCATCACATCATACATGACTTAATAAGAGTCAGCTGATTAATTTATATAGTGAATTAAGATAATTTCAAATTAATATAGGAAAAATTCCCAACTATGAGTGTAGGTCAGTTGGTTAAGTGTTCTACTAGCTTAATTTGAGATTTCAGGTTTAAGTTTTGTGTATGAAATTGTGTTAAATATTTATTAAAAAAAAGTCTTTTGCCCAACTTAATTTGCGTTAGTCAAGGTTTGAAGAAATTTATTAGAGGAAGTATTTGGTGCAATTTCAAACCTAGTATTAAACCACCAATAGAAATTGGCAGGCAAAGAACGTGCATTACAAAGTCATGTCAGTATATAGCTAGAATATAATCAATTTTTTTTTCCTTTTTTTTTTCTTTTTGGGTTATCAAAGAGAGCTATAGCCCACAACTAAAATAACAATCAAACATGTGAGGATTTAAATCCCAATTTGTCAAGCACCAAGGCCCCTATACAGTCAGAAGCCACATCAAAATAACCCAAGATTATAAACACACACAAGATTTGTTTGGTTGGAGGAACGAGAGAGGAGGGGAGAAAAAATTTGAAACAAATTTTCTCTCCTCTCCCATCCATTCCCTCTCTTTTCCTTCCTTCTCCCCTCAACCAAACATAGCTTTAATTAAAAACATAGCAACTTGATCGCAATGTCTAGGTACATACTGAATTTTGATAGATTCAATTCTTTCAACCAGCCTTCTGATCTGCAGCATGACAATATTCTCACTTTCACCACTAGCAACGTCACTGTTTAGTGCCTCAATAATAGTTGGAGTCTAATTCCAGAATAATATTTCTAAGGCCCTATACCAGTAGACAACAAGACGCCTTTGCAAGTAGCCAATTCCTCAGCTTCAACGCACTGCATAATCCAAAAAAAAAAGAGTGAGAAACCAGCGACCCATTCACCCGCACAATCACGAATTACACCCCCTACATGCTGCTCTATCGTCTAATGCCATTGCTCCGTCTACATTTAACTCGAACCACAGTGGTTGAGGGGGCAACCACACCTTTTGACCATTGGTACCAAAGTCACAGATCAAAGGGGTAGTCTGTAAAGCACAACTAAATTTGTGGTGAATGTTCATAATAATACATATTGGGTCAGAAGGTTTCTGTGCATTCTGCTGAAAAATAAATTCATTCCTCCAATCCCAAAGTTTCCATATTATCAACCCCCATAATTCATCCCAACCAGTGCAGTTCCCATTGCTAAAATTTCTCCATAGGTTCATAGAAACCCAATCCACAAGAGTAGCTGAAAGGAAATGATTCGCCAAATTGGCGTTAATAAGACAATACCATGCCTGTTTTGCATACTTACAGTCTCTTCAAACGTGTAGGAGATCCTAGCTTGCAGCCAGACACTAATCACAAAGCGGTGGGCATCGTGCCCACGTACTTCTCCATGAATAAGTTGGTAATCTATTACGAAACACCATCCACAAGGAAAATCTGATCCTCTCAGCACCATTCCATTTCCACCTGTACTTAAAGGCGTGGTTCCTCAATTAAGAAGTAAGCACTTCTCAAAGTAAAGTGACCATTAGCATTACCACACCAAGACAGAACATCACTGCCAAGCTGCTGCACTGGTGGAAGTAATTCAAGTTATCCAGCCTTGTAAAATCCCACACTCCATTCAAGACTCATTTGACCGTACAACTATTATTTTCTTCACCTGGCAAGGGTCTCATACAAAGATGCTTTATCTTAGAATCAGAGTTTCATAACATTCACAATATTTTTTTGGGTATTTCTTCGAGGCCTGATTCATCTGGGTGGACTATAGAACCTCATGGCCCAATCAAAAACACCAACTCTGTAATTTTTTTTTTAAAAAAAAGGACTCATCAACCTTTCAAATTCTTACGACGGATTTCCGCAGTTTAGGATAAATCGATAAAGAAATAGATAGAAATATGATTTATTAAAGATGAGAAGTTTGCTCCAAAACAAAGAAGAAAGTGAGAACCTTTATTCGACAGAAACCACACGGCCTTGTTACATCTAGACTGCATAGGTGAAACAGCTACTCATCATTCTGCTATAATAAGCACTAAAAACACTTGCTGTGACATCTCATTACACCAAACCAACCCGCTCTCCTCATACCTCCATTGATGTTATTTTTTTTAAAAAAAAAAAAAAAACCTCTCCTTTGTCCGACCTGACAACACACTCTTCAATTGCTAAACGTAAACGTCTCAAATTTGAATTTCTATGGGCCATCTGTGCAATTCCTTTGAAATAAGAGGAATACTGAAGGTAGCCAAACCGGTGGCCGAGTCATACTCGAAATCGGTTTCAACCTCACCCACTACACACTTCAAGGGGCGCTGGGAGGAGTACACTCCAAATCTGCCACTTCCTCTCACTCGGAGGGTAATATTTGCCGTTGCTGATCGGCTTGAACTGAGAGAAGTGGTCAGCTCAGATTCAACCTCGCCATCGAATAGTTCTTCTTTGTCACTTGCTTTGTGGATTTCAACCTGCTCTACGGCTCCTCCGGTGTTGAACATGCCCAGTAGCCCTATTGCTGCAAACGATATACTTGGAGGAATTTTCTGCGAAACAAACAGTACTTTTTAAGTCAGTACTCTACCGATCTTGCAGGGTAAATCACCAAATACCGGTCAGAGTTTTATGCCCCAGCAATGGAGCCTTACCTTCACTGGACAGAAATGGAAAAGTTCGTAATCCAAAACTTGCAGCGTCACTGGCACCGAGGCATCTTTAGGCAGCCTAATCACCTCACCTGAAATATATCATCTGGTTAATTCTGATCATATTGAAAATGCGAGGTTAAATAAAAGCACAATAAAAGAGCGTGTCCCTTTCAAACTTCACCAGACTCAAACACAAGTACCTAAATAATCAGTCCTGGTTTCGCCGAAATGCAATTCCATTTATCCAATAAATAGTACCTGATTTGTACGAATAAACAATGGCGTCGCCATCCCAATCAACACCAGCCACTTGAGTGATGAGGTCAACATCGGAGGCACGAACAGAGCAAGTGAGTGTGCCTGGAGATGCATTGTGGATCCGGGTCTTCTTCTCTATCTTGCACCACCCAGCACCTTGACAGTTGAATACCCCAACCACTCCAGAGCATTTGTTTAAGTTCCATATTTTGAGCAAGCTAGAAAATTGAAAATTTAGGTACATGAGCCTTCACTTTATGTCTAAACACAACTTCCAAATTTTCAGAGATAGAAATAAACAGACCTAGTCCCGTCCCTAGCTGGATCAGTGAAGAGAGAATCGCGAGTGGGCCTTCCTGGTAGTTGAGCACGGAGAATTGATCCATCAGGTAGAACCAGCTTCTTGAGAAGCTCAAAATTGTGGTTGCCTGGCTTGTCACTGAAAAAGCAACATAAATACAACAATAACCATTAAAAAGGTGCTCATTTCCTTTATAACTCAGTAACAAAAATCTTCTACTGACATCAATATACCTAACATAAATTGCGCCTCCACCAACTGCACGAGCTGCAGCATGGTACTCTGCCGCTGGGTGTAAACTCTGAAGTAGCAAAGATTCTTTCGTTAATATCAATAGAAGTCATTATGGAGAATATATTGAACCCAGAGCGTATAGTAAAGTGAAAACCACTGGATATCCCTTAAAAGTTCAAAACATGATAAGCTTGGTATTGTATCATTTTCCACTAATTTTAATAAGCACGTTGATGCTCAATTTTTGTGATTTAAATAGATTAACGAATATTAAGAAATTGACGAGTCAAACAACTAAAAGAAAAGGGCAACTGCAGTAACCGCAAATGCAGGGAAGTTCACTTCTTACCTGGAACATATCCCAGTCAGGCTGCATGAATTCTCCAAGGAATAGCGTGTTGTATGCTACGGATGATATATGGATTGTGTGGGAAGCAGGATCGCGTGGGTAAAAGTCGTCAGACGCTCTCACAACAGCAGTCTGCTTAGCGCTATAGAGCCCATCGGTGTTATGACACATACATGCGATACATCCATTGTCAGGAAAGTTGCGAGACACGGAGGCCTCAAGGGCCTGATGATAGCTGCGTGTGAGTGAGACTCTGCCACCATGTCCAGACCCAAGGGTTTCAATAATGTTCTGAACATCAACTTTTACTCCATCTACTCCACACGAAGCTAAGTAAGCATGGAGCTCATTGTAGAAGTTGAAAACATTCTTGGGATGCACTAGACCCAAGCCATGTACAGCCAAGCTGTCGATGACAATGTCTGGCTGGTTTCCTAGTACGCCAGGGGACTGTACTGGGTATGCTAAAGCAGTGTCATAATGTTCCATGCCGCTGGCTGCTGGCTTCACTCCACCCCAATAACCAACTAGAGCATGCCATACATATACATATCTGTTCATCACAAGAATAATGGGAAACTCAATTACGCCAGCCACTTGTCAGACAAAGCTTTTCGCAATTATGCAAAACAACTTGTTAAAAAGGAAAATGTTCCACCATAAAAAAAATACTCAAATGAATTCAAGGATCTAAAGCCATACTTCACATTGTGATGTTGCTTCGCTTCATCCACCACATGCTTCAGGCCTGAGCTCTGTTCATTATTCTGTCCATTCTTCTGAAATTTAGTGTTCTCTTTTATACCAGTTAACCTACTGGCAAACCTGCAAAGATCGTATTTGACAAAAATCAACAAAAAATAGCTTCAATCAAATCAATTAACAAGTAATGGTATGGTTGTTGAATATTTAAATGCCTATTGATAACGGCGTGCTTGAGGTAAGCATGGCAAACTGTGACTGATTATATATGGAGATCTTACTGTGCTCCTTCTTGTACGACACAATCAGCATCCCTTGGTTTACTTTCAATTTGTTGCCAACCATCGTCTATGATAAGGAAGCGTGGAGGTGTGCCGCCCTCTGATAAGCTACAATCATATTGAGTCAAGTTTCAGTGTCTGTTTGATCCATCTCTCCTCCATTCATTAAAAAAAAAAACTAGCATACTCAATAAATTTTCTCAATAACTACCTCTTGAGGCCTTCCTTAACACCCTCTGCCGTGACATCAGTATAGAAAGCATCCCATGTGCACCAGCCAAACCAGTCAAGAAAAGATGGCAACTGCATGAAATCAACAAGAACATGTTACAAGAAAATTTAGATATTAACTAAGCCAATTTTGTGGGTTCGATAGAATTACAGCGAGGGGAAAGTTCTTACTCTCTTCTTCTCACGATGAAGGAATGTTTTCATGTGTTTTTCTAGAGCCCTTGAATGACAAACAAACAACGGGTCAGTAATAATCGAGATATGTATGTATGTATGTATGTATGTATGTATGTATGTATATTCAGATGATTAGCCAGTAAAAGACAACTAGCCAGTGCCAATTAGGAAACAGGGGTGATGGGAAACAGGTGTGTCAGATCAGAGAAAAAACACACCCACAGGGAGATAGGGAGAGGGGGAGAGGGGGAGAGGGGGAGAGAATTTGGAAAAGATGCCTCACTTGACGGCTTGGTTAATGACTTCAAAAGGGTTTGTCCCAGCATGCATGTAGACCAAGTGAAGACCTTGATTCGTCTCAACAGCATTGTCTCCTGCAAAACCAAATCACACACCAAAAAAAGAAAAGATCGGTTGGATTCTTTCGGTTCATCATCCTATTTACTTAGTCTCCAAAGCTATAATCTTCATATGTTCGATTCAAATGATTGATAGTCATCGAGAGGATTCTCCAGCCCACATGCATTTGCTTTAACGACAGCTCCACCCCATAATTTCAGAAGGTAAGACTCCTTCAAACTTTGGCTGACGAAATTAGACATGGCGCTTAATTATGATGGCGGGGCAAAGTTTAATGTAGACTAACTGTAATTGTGTATGGATAAGAGGTACTCACCACTCTCAAGACAAATCTCTATTTCGTTTTTGTCATTCCCTTGTAGAACAGCACGGAACGGGCCTTCCAGCAGAGGAAGCAAGACAGTGTAGATGGTTTGAGAATTCTCCAAATCAGCACCTCCGTCATTTTTGCTCTCTATAAGCATGAATTGGGTCTCCAAAGGGATATCTCTCCCGCAGGTTCCCATTCTCTGAGTCATCCACCATAACTTGAACCGGAAACAACACATGAACCGAAGGCCCCTGTTTTTCAAGTCAATGAAAAATTATTTACAATCTGCTTTAACAAAGCAGCAATCGGCAAGTCAAGTAGTCCAACTAAAAAACGATGTTAAAATTAACAAAAGTGCATAAAATTAGTTCAAACATGCCACAAACTTTATCATTCAGCCGCAGCAACATGTCTGCCCATGTCAAAAGTAAACACTTCACATCGCCCTGTTTAATTTGCAGCAGTCAAATTTTCTTTGACTACTCAAACAATTGACACAGGAATCCATAGAAAGCATTTCACACAAATTAAAAGTGTATTTTGAATTTCCAATAGCTAAGTTATCAAGTTTAGATGTTGCAAAAAACTTACTCTAAAATACCCATGGGGAAGACATGGAGACTTTTGCTGTGGGAAGCTGTGGCACCAAGAAATGCACCAGCAACAAGTCCCACTCCAGATCCTGGGGTGAGGATAATGTTATCTGGTACTCCTGTCAGTATAGTCTTCCCATGAACAACCAAGTTCCCATCGTTAACGGAGATCCTAGGCGTGACCGTCATCTTTGAACACCTGAATACTGTATCATCACAGACACCAAACAGCTAGCGTATATAAGATTAAAGAGAAAAAGAAATCCCCAGTATACTAGATATTTAATATCAAGTTTCAAGGATGACAAGCATTGTTGCTCGAAGAATCTAAAATGTTAAGCTCAGAGTACAGAACAGAAACAAACGCGAAAAGAAGACAAAAATAAATTGACGCGGACAAGAGAAAATGGATAACAGGGAGACTGTATCAGAGGCTCAGAGCCAAAAAAGAAAAGGATAACAAGGAACCAACCCAAAAAAAAAAAAAAAAAGTAGCCTCAAAGTCCAGGAGACTGTCACATAAACAGTAAGATTTATAACTGTCAGGCTAAAACAGTAAAATTTAGGGATTAAGTCGTATAAACCTAGAGGTTTATGACGCATGCGAAAACTTATGCGCACATTAGTGTGATTGCGATGTGGCCCCTGTGAAGGAAGAATCCACGCCAACGGTTGTATCGATGCAATCCATAGCATTATTACCTACTCAAATTAAACGAGTTAAAGGGAAAGATGAAATACTAACCACGTCCTCTACAGTTTTTCACTTATTTGTACATATGTTAGGTGCAGGAAAAAAATGCTTCCTTTCTGTCAACAGTCTAGACTTTCAACTTTAGTAAAACCCCAGCTTCTTCATTCCCTTTCAGAGGAGGTGGTGTTCTTCTTTCTTGTGGGATGGGCTACTTGTGATTGGGGGCTGTCAGGTCAGAAAGAAAATCAGATTTCTTACGGGTCTGATATTGGTAATAATTGAAAGTTTCGAGCGTCTTAATGAAAATACAAAAAGATAACTAACGTGACCCAAAAAGAACGCTAATCGAGCAATTCATCAGAGCGACGATGGACCATGGTGCAGTGCTTTCACAGAAAGCATCAGCCAATTTTGTCTTGCGTGGAATCCGGAACCAAAGCTCACACAAAAACCGACAAAAGGGAAATGATTGATAAGATAGAGGGGGCAAATGATGTGGTGAAAATTGTTAGAATGATCGGAATACATGAAGCAAGAGATCTCAAACATGGTCAATACACATGATTGAGATTACACCGTATTGTTTCTTATTTTACTCTTTTGCTCCGTTTGACGGGGAATATATAGGTGCAAGCAAGAAAATATGAAGTACGTACTGTAGAAAATTGAAGGCTAGTATTCCTGGAAATGAGAAAATCTAGGTGAGCCAAGGAACTTCTCAAACAAGCGAACATGAAAAGCAGCAGTTCTGTCACCGAAAACAAATTATATAAAAAAGTCTAAAAAGCAACATCCACCGAAACTCTAACTCCTTGAAACTGATCTTCGCGAATAAATAACAGAGCTAACAAGCAACAATTTTCGAGGTAAAACGCTTCGAAATCAGCGGACCTCTGGATCCCAAAATCCAGATTCTCGCCACACAATTTCACATTCCGAACCACGGAAATCCAGAATCCACAGGAATTTCACCGCAACGAAACAATGAACCAGCTAGATACTCGAAATTGAAAAATGGCTCCCTAGATGTTTCACTTTGATTATAAAACGAATCTTCAAAGCACCCAGAGAGGCAGAGCTCAATCAAGTAAAATGTAAGGGTACTCTAATATTAGCCTCCATAACTCACCGGAATCCGCGGCTGGAACTAAGTGAGTCGAGGTAGCTCCGATAATTCAAAGAAGAAACAGAAGCGAGCTAGTACGATTCAGAAACGGGGAGACACGTGAAAGCCAGCAGAGAACTCAGCAAGAGAAGTACATTCCAAGAAGGAATGGTCCGTCTATGAAAGGGAAATCACGAAGCAACGGTCACTGCCAAAGACCAATGGCTTACGACGCTCACGAATTAGTGCTGGGCGAGTGGAGAAAAGAGCGGAAGAGGGCTTTTATACCGTGTTCAGTGTTAAAGGTCGAGCAAGTTTCCCACTTTCGGAATGCCCATATTCTGACACGTGGAAGATGCTGTCCGACCAGTATTTTTAAGAAATGAAAAACTGAGAAGATATTTTAATTTTTAAGTATCAGAGAATATTTTCTGCTAAAATCGGAGAAGTATCGCGGGAATTCTAGGAGCGGAGCTACTGCTGTACCGGCACAGTTGTTTTTAATTCAGTCTTCAATCATGAAGATGAAATAAGGCAAAATCATTTACTTTAAATGTAAGTTATTTTTTAAAAAATTTAAATTTTAAAAATTATAAAATATTTTAATTTTTTAAGATATATTTATTATTTTTTAAGTATTTTTATTAATGAATGACTTTATATTTATTGTAGGGTGTTTGATAAAAATAAATATAGAAATATAAAATTAATTTAAAATAAATAACTATTTTATTAAAATAAAATTTAATTAAAAAGTTTTTATTTTTAAAACAGACGGAGTACCAATTTATTTATTGCTTAAAAAAATGGTAAATTTGTTTTTCCATTAACCCAAGTGAACGAAAAAAATGGAGGCTTACGGCACAAGCATTAAGAAATATCTGAAGCAACATGCATAAAGCGATGAAAATTCCAGAATTTTTTGTTTCTATTCACATTTGAGATTTTGGGATGTATTTAATTGGATATAATATTCTCGCAAGACCGCATGAAAAGTTGATGAAGTTATCAATCATCCTCTTTTCTGGTGACGATTAGCTTATTAACATTACACCGCCCAGAGGGGGTTTTTTTTTATTTTCTTTTTTTAGAAAAAAGGCCTCAATCGAAGGAACTCTGATTTATCAAGCGGGACATGTATCAATCACTGTGATGTGTAATAAATTCCGATGGCATCTAGTGCGCATAAAATTAGTTTATATGTTATTAATGTAAAATTAATTATGCTCCTATTTCAATTGGTAAGAAATTTTATAATAATTAATTTTTTCATGTGAGGTTATAATATAATTTTTTTCATTAATTTATTTATGTCTGGCGGTGCTATATAGCTCATGACTTTTTTTTTTCTCAGATTATTATAACACATGAAGGTCCATCGTTGATTTTCTCTTGTGGATGTGCACGCAATCATTGATTTGGCTCTAATTAACTTGATCTATTCAGTTCCTTTAACTTGATTTATCCAAGGGCAAAAGAGCGGGTGAATAACAATTCTAACTGTAATTTGTGCATGTTAAATCTCAAATTTCCTTTTTTTTTTTTTAAGTTTGGGCGACAGGCTCAGTATTTCTTTTCCATATCTATTTCCAACATTTTAATGGTGAAGCAATTTTCCGGGCCTCAACATGGATGGGCGAGAACGGTCCAATCAGCAAGCTGACTCGTTTTTTATTATTGAATGGTGGGCCCCATGCACGAAGGAGTGAATTGACAATCTCACTCTCACATTCAACGTCGGTTTGTCTATTTCCCAGTGCCATTCGATCCTTTTTGTTCTGTTCAGTCACGGATTCACCGTTCTTTGCTTTCTAAATTATAAATAACGTAACTAATTTGATTTAAGTGGGTTAATAATATCTGGAATCCGTTATGAACATGCGTTGCATGCGATCGCTTCATCATACGAATATTAATCTTCAAACAACGAATGATGCAAATGTATGATTCAATCAACAACAAAAAAATGACGATGATGAAAATGAATTGAATGATTCGTAAGCTGGGGACATTGTGGTGGGACCTACATGAGCGCAGCTTGTCATGTATTCGCATCCTCGAGGAGATGATGCTTGTGGGAACGCTGAATTTTGTCAGCGTGATGGTCCATCCAGGGGACGGATCTTGGGGGGGCGGGCGGCGTGGCAAGCAGTCCATGTGAAAATCTTTTCGGTAGATTTTTCTACTTTACATAGAAAAAAATGAAAAATTTAATTTTGGCCCCCAATTCCATAAATTTTTTTTCCCGCCCCCACGAGGGGTGCGCTAGATCCGTCACTGGATCCATCCATGTTCAAATTTGCTCATAATAAACCAAAGGAGCTCAGTTTAATAAAAAGAGTCAATTTTTATTAAAAAAAGGTGTTATGTTTAATACTCAACGGTGTTACAAATAGAATTGTCTTTAATATAAGAATATCCGTAAGCAATTAAAAAAAACTGTTCGCAAGAAATTCTTCCCCCTCTTTCCCTCTCTGTGAAAACGTTCATCTAGATTGTGCTATCCTTTATTTTAACGATATTATTGATTATTAATAATCAGCTGCACCTGCACATGCGGGTTCATCGAGAAACCCTTAAAAATAATCATTTTTTTTATTTATAACTCTATTCATTTGTTATCCTGTGCATAATGTGGCACCCTCACTACTCATTATTAGAAGGACTGATCCATTTTATTAATTATTTTTAAAAGAGTAAAGGATTCCCTTTATATATCATTAAATTGTATCTAAATTACATTTAAAGTTAAGAGAGAGAAAGAAAAGAAAAAAATAATACTATATAATTTATTTATTTTTTAAAGGTTATATTTATAATTTTATTAAATTTATTTTTTATATTATATTAATAAAATTACTAAAAAATAATTTATAAATAGAAACTGGAGGAACAAAATATTTGATTAAAAGAGCGGTAACTTGGCAGCTCAGTTTCCAGTATCAACTTGACGCAAAACTCAACCAGGCGATGTGATATACATGAAGCGATAATTTATATTTAAGTTATACTGACGTAAATCTGCTGCGGAGTGCGGACCCCCCTCATTAATCAATCAACTAATAAAGTAAAATTTTCAAGTGGCTTGAAATAATAAGCAAGGCATGATAGCCGAAAAAGAAGATCAGGATTGTGCACGTATAAAATATGGCTTCGTCATGTACCCACAAATATCTAGCACGGAAACAAAATATAAAAAATGCTCGGTATTGCGCATCCAAACAATGAGACGGGGAAGTGGGCCCCCTTTGTTCTTCCATCATATGCTTGAAAAGAAAAATACACATTCACGAACTTGTATATGTTTTTTTTTTTTTAGGCTGGGACGATAAAATCTAAGGGAAAATTACATTCGATGACTCTTTAAAAATTATTTATAAATAAAATTAATAATTTTAATAACCAATTCATTCTGTATTAATTATTGTCTGTGAATAATTGTTGAACAATTTTTTTAAAGAATTTTTGAATGTGATTCTCTCATAATAATATAAGTCAAGGGCTTTATTTATACCACAACTCCAGTCATTTGTGAAAAATTGATTAAAAAATATTATGCCAATTTTCTGTCTCCATTTTAAATAGGCGGGATACGTCATGTCATTTATTTAAAAATAAAGCTTTTATCAATAAAGTATTTTTTGTTTGATCAATCTATGGAAGGGTGAAGGAGGTTGGGATGCAAGTACTTTGATGCATTTGACTACTTCGGCTTGCGTTTGCGAATTGAACTCGAGAAATTTGGAACCTGAAGTATAAATGAGTAAATTAATGACCACGTCCTCTTTTGATGTGCGTCCTTTTCCATGCTTAGATTAGAAATTGGGGGGAGAATGGCAAATAACGACATCATAAAAAATATTAATATTAAATTAGATTTTTTAATATTAATGTTTAAAATTCAATACTCCTCCTCTCATATTTAATGTCCAAAGCCTGTGATTTGATATTATTTTTTTTAATATCCTTGCTTGTTATTTTTCTTAAAAAAAATTCAAATTAATTAATATAATTAGTGAGGTTTACTAGAATAAAAAATAGAAAAAAATAGCTGTGAATGGGATAGAAGAGAGTACATAGGAGTGAAAGCCAGTTACAGTTACAGAAACGAGAAAGATGATAGGGCACAGCCAATGCTGCGCATGGAAAATGAAAACATCAACACAGTCATGTATATAAAAAAAATAAATACTCCCTCTATTTTTTTTTTTTAAAGAAATTCTTATTTTTGTTTATATTTATTAAACAAAATTATGTATTTCAATAAATATTTATTATCTATTTTTTAAATCACCTCTCATAATTTACATTAATAAAAAATAATTAATATATATTTATGTTAGTTAACACAACGGTGTTTTAATCCTTTTAATTTTTAGACATAATCTTATAGTTAATTAACTTTGTTAAATTGTGTGATATAATTTTTTTCTAATATATGAAGTAGTAAGCAAGACCTTGAAATTAGTAATAGGAAGAATCATATTTTAATGATTACTAAAAAAAAAGTTACAATAAGATTAACAGTTTCATTTTATTTTAAAAAATATAAACTATATTCTCATTTTAATAACAATTTATTTTATATTAATTTTTTTTGTGAATAATTTTTAAATGATTGTTGTTGAATGATTCTTCAATAGTATAATATTATACAAACTGAATGTGATGAGGGGTGAACATTTGGTCAATTCCATTATAGTTTTTCCCCAAACCAATATTTGAGTTAAACAAAAGTTTGGATCGAATGAAATTAAAATACTCAATCAAACTGAATTAAAATTGAATTCAATTAAATGGTTTGATTCGATTAATCTATTCGGTTTATAGACTTTGATTTGAATTTAGTAAAACCTAATTATTCATTATCTTCTTTCTATTCATATTTTATATCGAAGGTCCAAAAAAAGATAATAGCCTTATACCATAATTCTTAAAAAATTTAATAAAACTCGATATTATCGCATTACAAATTAAATATAAAAACAAAAAAAGAATGTCACATTAAACTTAAAAAAATACTTCCATAGAAAACTGTTTCTTATATATCACTTAAATAATAATTTATTCATCTTTTAAAAAATATAAAATATATATGTGTGTATGTAATTTGATCGTTTTTATTTATTTGATTTAATAATCTTTAAATCGAAATCAAACCGTCCAATCAACATTTTTACAAAAAGAAAATCAAATCAAAACAATATAATTGAATAGATTAAATTTGATTTAATTTTTAATTTTGATTTGA